CTTGATGATGAGTAATTGTGGAGCTAGTTTGATGATGAGTAATTGTGGAGCTAGTTTGATGATGGGTAAATGAGGAACTAATTTGATAATGGTTAATTATAAATTAATTGTTGTTGTTAGGTTTTTAATTGTATATAATGAGTTATGCAATCGATGAAATTTGATAGTTTTCAAAAAAAAAATGATCAGAATGTTATAGTCTATAATGATTATATAGTGATAACGAGATAAATTGGGGCTAAATCCCTAAATTTGGGTCACCTTAATGATTGTCAACGTCGGATTTGGCGTTGACTTCCCTAGAAATTGGATTTGGTCCCTTTTGCCAATCCAAATCGTCTTATATGGTCCTTTGAAACAACCTTTTTCTTGTTAGGTCCTTTTAAATAAAAGTTACCACTTAAGTGGTCCTTTTTAATTAATTTTCCTATATTTGGATGCTACATAGTACATTTTAATTTAATTTCAATCTTAAGTTCTTAATTCCTTTTACACTAATTTAATGTGTACTCAGATTTATGGTATAGTTGGTTATACCTGTAATGTTTAGGGATGTCAACAGGATCGGGGCGGATGTTGGCATTTCCATCCCCATCCCCACCTAACATTTTTATCCCTATTCCAACCCCGTGAAGGGTTCAAAATTCATCCCTATACCCGCCCCGGCGGGTACAACTCCAAAACCATCCCCGTCCCACCCCCACCTAATCCCTACCAAAGACCCGCCTAATCTCCACCAAATACCTATCTAATCTCCGTCTCTCAACTACACAATTCTACATAATAAATACATATTAAAAAAAAAATTCTTATTAATATTACACACGTTTTGTTTATAACATAAGTGTTTTACAAAGTATTATAATTAATAATTTATTTCACAAAATTATTTTATAAAATAGTGTAAAAGTATATAATTTTGTTTTTAAAGATATATAGATGTGGGTATGAGATGGGGATGGGGCAGGGATGGAGCACGTACAATTTAAAATCCATCCCCGTCCCATCATCCATGGCATGTATGGTTTTTATTAGGGATGTCAGTGGGGCGGGTCAAGTAGGGGACCCACCCCAGTGGGACGGGAAGGGTCTCGGTTTGGCGGGTGGTGGGGCGAGGATGGGGATAAAAACCTTAGTATGATGTTTTCCTTAGTATGATGTTTAGGGTGATTTGCTTTTATCAATTATGATTTCTATGATGCTTCCTATTTTCTTTCTAATAGCATATTAGTACCATGTTAGGGCTAAAGCTTTGATTTTTATTGTTTAGTGACATGCTAGGGTTTGTTATTAATCTTGTTAGTATCATGCCTAGGATCTTGCTATTATTATGCTTTATTTTTAATTATGATTGTTGTTATTGTTATTATGTTGCTTGACGCTTATTATTGTTATTGCTTGATCACACCTTTTATGCATGTTAGGGTTTAAAGGGAATTTGTACTTGTAATCACGCTTAATAAGATAATTAATAATCTTGTTTAGGTTAATATGATTATAATTCAAGTGATCGCCAATAATAGTTTTATTTGTGCATTAATATTCAACTAACATAGATTAAACAGGTTTAGGGTAAACCTATTGATTGCATGTTAGTCAGAAAGCGCACATGAATACAAGAAGAATAAAGTAGAGGCCTATTATTAGGGCAGATTCAATCTCTTTTAGGTTGGATTTGTACATTCATCCCCAAACTTCCAGTCTTGGTTCCAGACCTATCGGAGTTAACGATCTCCTGGATCGTTAAGGGGTGTAGCCTTCACCCTGTGAACGGTTTACAAGTTCCTAAAACTTGTTGGCGACTCTTTTGCTCTAGCTTCCTCCCCTTTGGACGCCACCGTACTTTAGTGTATGATCACAGTGGGGTTCAAGTTTGGGGTAATGCTTGAAATATTCCCTACAGTGTAATATTAAGAATTATTATTGTTATTGTTATTATTATTATTATTATTATTATTATTAATCATGTACGATTGTGTATTTGAGATACGGAGATTAGGTGGGTTTTGGGTGGGGATTAGACGAGTCTTTGGTTGGGATGGATATCCAAGTGGGGGGTGGGGCGGGGATGGTTTTGGAGTTGTCGTACCCGCCGGGGCAAGGATGAGGATAAATATTGGACCCGCTGTGGGGATGGGGATGGAGATGAAAATGTTAGGTGGGGATGGAAAGGCCAACATCCGCCGCACCCCATTGACATTCCTAGTTTTTATCTCCATTCCAGCCCCACCACCCGCCAAATCGAAATTCATCCTTACCCCTCTGGGGCCGGGTAGAGACCCGCCCCATTGACATCCCTAGTAATGTTAGTTCCACATTGATATATAAAAAATATAATCTAATTAAGTAGTTATACAATTGACCTTGAAGCTAAATTATTTACTTTGTCTGTTTAAGCAGTGTTAATGGAGGTTGTCTTAATCAATAATTACTCTGGTCAATAATATCAATAATAAGTGTTTGTTGGTACTTTTGGACTTATGTTGGTATAATAATAGTAATCAAAGTAAGATCTAAAAATTTACCAACAAGATTATTGATACTTTTTATATTATTTCTACTTTTTATCTCACTATATTTCACTAGGGAAGGACTTTAATGTGTGTGGTATGTCTAGTCCTTTAAGAAAAATTATTATCGATGGACTTTATGTACTATGCATGATATTTTATTATAACTATTTGCATATAGGTGATAAATGTGTGTATTGGATATTGTCATCGAAGGACCCCTATGTAGCACCTACTTTTGTTTTTAATTACATTTTTTTTTATTAAAGTAAGATGAACGACTTTATTGAACCGACACCTTTCACACATTAAATTAGTCCAATTTTACAAGTCAACGCTTGTAAATAGAGGGGGGGGAGTTAAGGGAATCTTCCCCTACTCCCAATTATATGTTTTTTTTTTTTTTTTTTTTTTTTTTTTTTTACGGGAACCGATCGAAGAAATTTATTACTCAAGCATATTTGGTTTAACTACATATACTACAATTAGCCCCACCAACTACATTTCAAGTCACAAGATGAATTCCCCATCAACTCTATCAAGCATATTTGGTTTAAAAAATGTATAACACCTACTTGATACGGAGTAATAACTTTTACTTCCGTATAAATATTCTGGCCCCAATACACTACAAATAGGCACCGTCTACTAAATTCTCAAAGCAAACATCGGTCTCTTAATTCAATTTGTACTCATATATCAAATCATTGGAGTAGGTTTCCTTGAACCATTCCATGGATTGATAACATATTTTACTCTATGCATTTAGATTTGGATAATAGACTATTACCGGCCCTATAATCCTAATTTGACACCCAAAACAAATATGATGAAACGAGGCAAAGTTTTAGACATCTCATGCTCTTCTAAAGTCATAAAAGCCTCCAAACTACAATCAATTTTAGAAGGAAATAAGCAAAGTTGGCCAAACAACCTACAATAGACAAGTGGATTGGAGTTAACGAAAATAGACAAAATATGGCCGACCATGCCCTAAGGCTAACAAAGCACAACAGCCGCCCCCATTGTTGTCGCCCTAAATTAATTATTTTTAAAGTGCATGATATGCTTCCAAAATCCAAATCGATCATGTCCAAGAGCCTCGACTCTTTTGTGCATGTCCACAATTAAATTATTGTACAAAAGAATAATAATAATTAAGCAAACAAAATTATAATGAGCAACATGAAAAATTATTGTACAAGGAAAATAATTATTAGTAAACAAAATTATAATGAGTAACATGATGAAAAATTATGTAGCACGAAGTACAACTTATGTTGATATATACATATAAACTTATGTTGATATATACATATAACATATTGCCTTTTTAATTAGTACTTGTTGTAACCGTCATAAAAAAAAAAAAAAACAAATAAAATTAAAAATCAGTACTCGTCGTAAATTACTGTATGGTATCTAATTCTATTAAAAAGATGTATGATAGCTAACCAGGCCACCTTTATGATTTGGAAATACTGTTAAGGTTGATGTCAACTAGACCTGGTTATTGGGCGGGTCAAATCAGGATTGTTGCTGTTCAGGTCAAAAAGGGTCTTATTTTATAGGGTCAATAGCAGGTCGATAATGGACATGTCTAGAAAATATCAATTAAAATAAATATTGGACAAAACTATTATTAAGGATCTGTTTACTTCATCTTATTTTCAGTTCAGTTCAGCTCCAATCAACTCTGTTCAGTTTAGTTAAGCTCCAATTAATTCTGTTCAGTTTAGTTCAGCTCCAATCAGTTCAGTTCAATTCAACCCTAATTTCCTTCTCTCATAATATATTCATTTCAATTCAATTCAGCTCCAATCAGTTTAGTTCAGTTCAGCTCATTTCAGTAAATGTGAATATGTGCTATGTATATATGTATCTACAAATTTATCTATGTAATTATTTTACGTTATTTATTTTCTTTATCAATTAAATTGAAAAAACATTTTGACCCTATATAATTAATCCTACCTAATAAGGATCATGTCTATTAAAGACCATGTCTATTAAAAGCCATTTAAGCTGGATGACCCTTTTTTTCATTTGGCTATGCTACCCAATAACCAACTCTAATGTCAACTATAGAATCACATGAAAATTATCTCAAATATTAACTTGTTAACAAACTACCCGTCAAAAAAACTTGTTAACAAATTAAACAAAAAAACACTATAAATGAGACCGATGGTTTAGGCTCCATAATACTACAATTTGAGATAGTGCTACAATTATCTACTCCCTCTATCCCTATTTTTTTTGCCCTATCTGACTTTTCACAGCCTCCAAGACGCGTCTTAGAACGCAAATATCTTCATTTTCATATACGTAGAAATAATAAAAACTAAATATTAATACAATATACAATGAGGCGAATCTAATAATATCACTCATAACTATATTATATCTAATGAATTAACGTAATATACGGTCAAAGTTTACAAAGTTTGACCAAAAATAAATGACAATAGGGCAAAAATAAAGGGACAGAGGGAGTACTATATATGTCTATCCTCCGATTGTTTAAGTTAGTTACACTTTTTTGGTTTTCATCTATAACTAATGTGTACCTCGAGTGATGTCCCAGGTTGTTAGTTTGAGTACTTCTTACTTAAATTAACAATTATGTTCGACTATTTGTATATTTAGTGTGTGTAGTGATTCAAGCATAGCCTTGGATGTCACTTTTTTTTTTTTTTTTTTTTGACATCATATATATTTATATTCTAATATTGTGAATAAATTATATTACCTCTATTTTACTTAATATATGAAGAAATATAATAAATGAATTATATTACCTCTATTTTACTTAATAAATGAAGAAATATATAGTATTATGTGAAACTAGAAACATTAATACTCCCTCCCTTTCTTTTTACTCGCAACAATTACTAAAAATAGTCGGTATACATTACTTGCAACAAACTTATTTCTTTCCTTTTATGGTAAGTTTTTTTGTGTGATTTTATAACATTACCCTTACTTTTTTTTTCTAAACACCCTAATTAAACTACTAATTTTAACTTAATAACTTAAACCCTAACATTAACTAACTTAATTATTTTCCCCAAAATCATTACTCTCCCATCTAAATTCATTCTCATCTTCTGTCAAAAAAAAGAATTCATTCTCATCTTGATTGGGAACCACCACCACCACCACCACCAGTCCACCACCAATCTCCATTCTATGTTCATCACCTAGAAATTCACCTCAGTACACCACCGTCGCCGAAAGTTGTTGCCGATGTCCCTTTTGTTGTGGCCGCCTCCGTTTTCTCTCTCTTCCTCTTCTTGTTGTTTTGTCATTGCAATGAAGCACATATGTGAAGGTTTTATGGTTAAATTTTACCATGAAATTTCTAGATTTGGAGTTTTGATGGTTAAATTTGACCAATTAAAGCTTTAATTGATGATAGAGTTGTGGGTTTCGGATTTAATTTGGGGTTATGGGTTTGGTTCGAGTTCGTGGGTTTTGGGTTTCGGGGTTGTGGGTGGTGGGTTTCGGGGTTTCGGGGTTGTGGGTGGTGGATCTGGGTTCGTGGGTTGTGGGTGGTGGTTCTGGGTTCTTTGGTTGTTTGGTTGGTGGTTGGTGGTTCGAATTTTCTAGGTTGGTGGGTAGGTGGTTCGAATTTTCTGGGTTTGTGGGTTGGTTTGGTTGGTGGTTCGAATTTTCTAGGTTCGTGGGTTGGTGGTTCGAATTTTGGGTTCGATTCTGGGTGGTTCGTGTGGTGGGCGGTTTGATTGCGGGTGGTTCATGTGGTGGGTCGTTCAGTTATGGTGTTGCTGGATGGGGGTACAGTGCTGGGTGGTGGTGCGGCCATGTGGTGGTGGTGGTATTGTGGTGCTGCGGCCAGGTGGTGTTGGTGGCATCGTGGTGTTGGGAGGTGGTTTTTATTTTGGTTTAATTATTTTTTATTTTTTTATTGGGTTGGATTAATACTAAGTACATCCACTTATTTTTTAATAATCTCACTTAAGATATTTTGTCTAGGAGTCCGCAAACTCCCTCTTTGTTGCGAGTAAAAAGAACGGAGGGAGTAATAGTTGGTTGAGATGGTAAATGTATTACCTATATGTATTGGAGGTTATAAGTTCAAATCTTGTTCGAATCATATTTTATTTTGTTAAATGAAGTGACTAGCTTACATTGCACATATAATTTGGATGATGACGTGACATTGTGACATAACACACATACTTTAAAAAGTGCCATGTGACATCGTTTCTTTTTAAAGGAACGACTTTTAATATAAGGTATAGATTTTGAATTGGTTATACTTTTGGCCTCTTGATATGGGATTGAAAAGTACTAAGTACTTTATAAAATTGTAATTAATTACCCATCATTCTACTATGATAATATTTTAATGATGAATGATGGAGATTAACCATTGAATCTCCTAACCTCAATACCCAGTCTCTCACTTATACCCCAAGTGTTTGGGCTATTACATTTGAGGCTCTCTCTCAAACTTTAAACAAGAACTAAAATTATTAGAATATCAACCGATATTATATATCTTTTGGTCTTTTTGTTGTTATCATATCTTACTATCTTTGGTATGCTAGGATAAATATTTTTTTATATTAGATAATATCTTTGGTATTATTATGTGTAATTGTAAATGTGTATATCTTTATGAATTCAGGTATATTTTAGTGATTATGTTACCATATAATAGTCATTTGTAACAATGTTATAAATAGTATTATTATTTCATCAATATAATTAATGTAAGAAATTTATAGACCTAAATACAATAATAATATATGTGTACTTTACGGAGATGATTGTATTTATACGCTATTATATAGTTACCTTAAAATGATTAAAAGTTATCCTATAATAAATGAAAGTTACTCAGTATATATAAATTACCTTATATAAAAAAGGTTATTTATGCTTTACTGATAAATAATACTACCTCCGTTTCTTTTTAGTTGACACATATTCCTTTTTAGGAAATTTTTTTTTAGTTGACACGTTTCCTTTTGAGGTAACTTTTTTTTTACCTTACATTTATAAGCTACCTCACTTGCTTAATCATTCTCTCTCACTCCATCTCCTCTCCTTAATATATGTGCTTAAATCAAACGCGTCAACTAAATTGAAACGGATGAAGTACAAGTATAATGTCACTCAAAAAAGTCTAAAAGTTGCCCTAAATTCAATTAAAGATACCTTGATATATAGTAATATTAACGTACATCGCATGTATACAAAAGTTTTTATAAAAGTATATTTACATTTTACAAAATTGTGAAAGAAAAGAAAAAAGTTGATACATATAAAAACCCAAAATGGCAAAATTACTACGAGTAAAAATACAAAGTAATCAACCAAAAAAGAAATTAAATACAAATACTCCAAGAGATGAAGTGTCATTTTTTGTACATCCCTAATAATGAGTATCAAAATGTTATAGCACACAACAAACTTATTTGACCCGGCAACTCAATAACTCATCAATCTTCGTAGGCCCAAAAAAAAAAAAATCCGGGTTATATAGGCCACACACCAAAATTTTCTATCAATCTTTCATCATATATAAATACAACATACTGATATTCATAAAACAAAGTAAGACAAAACTAATGTAGATTAAAATGGCAAATATCACACAAAAACATAGAGCTCATATTCTAGCCGTGCCTTATCCAAGTCAAGGGCATATATGTCCCATGCTACAATTTTGTAGACGTCTAGTCTCCAAAGGTGTTAAAGCATCCCTAGCCATCACTAACCACATCTCCACCACCCTAAACCCCGAACCCGATGACCATGTTAGCCTCGTAACCATCTCTGATGGCTACGATGATGGTGGATTCTCAGGAGCTGATAGTGTTGCAGCCTACCTTGCCAATCTTGAGGTTGCAGGGTCCCAATCCCTAGGGATCCTAATTGAGGAACGTGTTGGTACAAGTGACACTATAACTTGTGTAGTGTACGATGCATTTTTACCGTGGGGTCTAAATGTTGCAAAGAAATATGGACTACTAGGGGCTCCATTTTTTACCCAAGCATGTGGGGTGAATTATGTATATTATTTGATTTATCATGGGAAGTTTACCATGCCGGTATCTTCACCACCGGTGGATATTCAAGGGCTGCCTACGTTAGATGTCGGCGACTTACCGTCGTTTGTGGGCTCACCGGAGTCTTACCCGGCTTACCTAGAGTTGGTTTTGAACCAATATACTAACTTGGGTGATACTGATTTTGTGCTTGTCAACACTGTCTATGAGTTGGAGGATGAGGTAATACGTACTAGTACTATCAATATTTATGCTTTATGTTACGTAAATTACTCGTATGATATTTTATAAACTAAAACTTACTAGATTTTTACTTGATTTTCAATAACTAAAATATGTGCAATGTGATAAAAAATATAACTGAAAGATGGAGGTGTGGGATTTTTGCATACTACTAAATTGTTGATTAATTTCGGTCCTTCAAATTTTAATTATCATTGTACTTGGTACTTTTTATTTTTATTATTTTTATTTATTTTACATTATGTCAACAAAAGATTTAAGTATTTTGTGTTGTCATGTACTTTCTCCATTCTTTTTTAAATACTACATTTTTTTTATTTCACGTTTACCAATATGTTAGTTTAATTATTAGAATATTTTATTTTTCACGTAGAAAATTTTATAAAATTTAATATTAACAGACTATAAAGAAACAAGAATCTAACAATAATATTCCATATGATAACTATATATTTTTTTTCCCTAAATCATCAATCAATAACACTAGTCAATTTAGGGCCTATTCTGATTAACTGAACTGAACTTAACTTATATTGGAGTTGAACTGAACTGAATATTTTATAAGAGAAGGAAATTAAGAAGTGAACTTATTGGAGCTGAACTGAAAATAATCTGAACTAAACAGACCCTTAGAGTATATAAATAATGTAGAAAAAAAATTAAAATATTGCATTTAAAAGAGAACAGGGAAAGTATGATTTTTAAAATAATGCTCCATACCGTGATATATGTGATCTATGCATTGGTGAGGTGATAATTATGTGAGTATGTGATTATTTTCAAAAGGAAAGGTACGTACACATAGATTAAAGGTCTTCCAAAATGGAGGATAACAACATTGATTAGTATATTACTCCGTATATGACTTTTCAAAACTATCAATGAAATAATTCATAAAAAAGCAAACTAAAATCACAGAGATGTTGAATGGAAAATTATACGAGTACTTATTAGATTGATTATGATATGTATGCAATTACTTAAGTAGTTCATTTCAAATTGAGACAAATCTAAATGGTTTTAATTTATGGAATACCATTTTACATATTAGAGTTGATTAAAACTGATTGAAATTATTGGAGCTTGTTAGACTTTATTAAAACGTACTTATTAAACTTGATTAAATGTGTTAAAACTTATCTGAATTTATTAGAACTTATCTGATATTGTCTACACTTATTACACCGTAAACTTAGTTTTTAAGGTGAAGAGAACACAATGTTAATGTGAATGTTATATTTTTTTTTTGTGTGTGTGTTTAGAGAGCCACAAGGATGGGATGAGAATCGATCCCAAGATGTCCTTCACCCTCACACTATGTAATCAGGTCATTTGCAGTTAATAAATATTAAATTAATGTAAATTAATGTTTGCACCAATAAAAGTTAAACAAGTTCAATAATATACAAATCAAACATAATACTGTACGATGTATAAATAAGTTGATTAAATATAGAAACAAATCAAACAATGATAGGCTTCAAGCTTCAACCATTGCATTAGTGAAATTTTTATTTATAATAACTCAACATGACATGAAGAATCAACTTTAAAATTTCATCTTTCCTCTTTGTAAAACATACAGAGTACGAGTACTTTGTACTAATCATGGTCCATGGATACAATCCTGACATGCATGTGATTTAAGGTGCAGCATTTATTCTACACGTAAACTAATTCGCTGACATATAACATGTTAGTTGTTGCGGTGTTGCCCAACTGAATCGAAGGTGCATTTATCTCCGTCAAATTAAAGTAAAGGCTTAGGGTCTGTTCTAACAGATTGAAATCAGTTGAACTGAATTGAGCTGAACTGAAGTGAACTGAAATGAAATGAATATTTTATAAGAGAAGGAAATTAGGAGCTGAAGTGAACGGAAAATAAACGTATTAGAACAAGTCCTAAAAATGACATTTCAACAATTACTACGTAGTTTAATTTGGAAGGCCCATTACTTTTATGAAAGAAGAGATGTACTTGGATTTCTCATGTGACATCATTTCTCAAATGATCAAATAATCTATTGTTGTTCTCAGGTAGTTGATGTAATGTCCAAAGAATGTCCATTGCTAACAATTGGACCGACAATTCCATCCTTTTACGTGGACAATCGAATACCACATGACAAAGAATACGGCCTAAGTCTCTACCCTATTGACCCTACTCCTATCACCAATTGGTTAAGCACAAAGCCATCAAAGTCCGTGGTTTACGTCTCATTTGGTAGCATGGCATGTTTAACAAAGGCTCAAGTTGGAGAATTAGCATGGGGGTTGCAACAAAGCAAATACCACTTCTTGTGGGTGGTTCGAGCTTCCGAGGAGGGCAAGCTTCCAAAGGGCTTTGTTGATGAGAAAGGGCTAATAGTAAGATGGAGTCCACAACTAGAGGTACTTTCTAGTGAGGCAATCGGATGTTTCTTTACTCATTGTGGTTGGAACTCGACACTAGAGGCATTAGTTATGGGCGTCCCTATAATAGGGATGCCACAATGGACCGACCAACCTATGGATGCTAAGTTTGTTGAGGATGTTTGGAAAGTAGGAGTAAGAGTGAAGGTTAATGATGAAGGGCTTGTAGGAAAAGAGGAAATTGTGAGATGTTTGAATGAAGTGATGGAAGAAAGAAGGGGGGAGTTCATTGAAAATGGTAAGAAATGGAAGCATTTGATGAAAATAGCAATTTCTAAAGGTGGATCTTCAGATAGGAACATTGATGAGTTCATAACCAAAATCGTTAGGTCATAATAATTATGATTCAGTTGAAGTAAATTGTACAAAATAAACAAATTTGATTGTGTAATTTTTATGAGTAGTTCTTTTGTTTAAAAATATAAGTAAAACTAGTTTTTTGCCCGGATGATATTCCGGGTCATTGCTTGTATTTTATTATGGTTATTTTTTGTTAAATTCAATATATTTTCGTCAAAAATTCAATTTAAATGTTTAATTTGTCAATTTGATAAGACATTATATCAAAAGAGAAAACTAAAATATTTGTGGTGGGAATATTTGATGCCTATTAACAATTACAAAATTACAATAGTTAATTAAAGTTGAATTTAAAAAATGAATTTACATTTGCTTATTAATCGAAAATAATAAAACAACAATATATTGAGTAGTTACAGTCAAATTAAAAAGTTACAACACCTACTTTAAATCATTCTATTGAGAACAATAAGTATCAAGAGACATTGATGATAATAGTTTAATTAATATGTAGTAGTAAATGTCGTTCTTAAATTTAGTGGTTCAAATTATAATTTAATCATAAATTTATATTGAAATTTGATATTAAGTATAGATGAATAGGTCATGACATATCACTACTCATGTGACGCCAAATATATTAAAAGAAGGATGATACATAATGACGATATTATGTTATTTCATTGAGTCTTAATAATAATATAAAGGGTTTTTCTATATAGTAAACCTTTTATTTTTCACTATTTTACGTTGTGCCCCAACATATATCACTTTCCACACGGTAACTCCAATATACATTTTGTTTCCATACGGTAATCTTGTCGTTATCTCACCGTTAAAAAATAATGCTAGTGGAATCCACTCTCCATTTATTAATATTTTTTTTATTGATTTGCGCGTTGAAAATATTTCGTTAAAGGTTTTGGGGGCTATATTTTGGACCTTAAGGGTCTAAATTGAACTCAGATTTCATTAAAAAAAAAAAACGTAAATGTCTCATTTTGTGTATTCAAATGTGAACATGTAAATCGAGATATTTCTTAATAAGAAAAACGAGGCGTTTTTATTGGGGCTCAATTTGGTCCTTTAAGAACTAAAATAACCCTAAAATTTTTAACGGAACATTTTTCAACGCACAAATCGATAAAAAATATATATTAATAAATGGAGAGTGGACCCCACTAACGGAATTTTTTAACGGCAGGATAACGGCAAAGTTACCGTATGAAAACAAAATGTATATTGGGGTCACAGTGTAGAAAGTGATATATGTTGGGGCACAATGTAGAAAAGTGTAAATTACAAGTTTTTTATGTAAAAAAACCCTAATATAAATATTGTTGCAACATTTAGAATTTCATGTTTCTCATTGTAAGATTTTGACTTTTAACCAAAAAAAAAAAAAAAAATAGAATTGTACAATTTTGACAATGTGATATGAGTGGGTTTGGATCCTCTAGAGTTGAACTCTATAGAGTTCAATAAATCTAGACCCTCCACAAAAGATCAATGGCTAATATTCATCTTGCATGCATTTCAAAATAAAAAATAAAAGTTCAATAAAAAATAATTTAAAACTCTCACTCTCACAACTCTACAACTTTATAATTTTCAAACTCTAGAGGATCTCAACTCGATATGAGCATGGTATATATGAGACCAAAGTGATTCTTTGACCATCCATTGCTCAAATCAAGCTTATAGGGTTAAATTTTTTTTATTTTTATTTTTATTTTGCGTGTAGGCTGGACTTGGATTTTGAACTAAAAACATATTATACGGCTTGACCATTTTCTACTTTTTAAGGCTAGGCCTAATCATGTTACTGGGCCAAGTCATTAATTATCACTTCTCACAAAGATCAGATCCAAAATGCGAATTCTACCCAAACCTCTAATATCCTAAAATGTTGGGGTCGGGCCAATTCAATTCATGTCAATTTCGAGTCAGTAAATAATCGGTCCGGGTCGGGTCGGGTCAATTCGAGTTTCAGGTATCACTTTGGGTTAAGTTCGGGTCGGATTAGGTCAATTTTTGGGTCAGTTTCAAATCGAATTGAGTTAATTTGGGTCGTGTCAAGTTTGGCTCAGGTCACCACAAGAAATCCACTTTAAAAAATAGTTGGAAAAATAAAGTAAAATCGTTAAAAAAAAATTTTAAAAAAATCGTGAGTACCTATTACTTGGGAAAGAAAGAAGCCCAGTTTCATCAGAAAAAAAAAGGAAAGAAAGAAAGAAAGAAGCCCTAAAATAAGTAATTCACCATTTCCCTTCAGGAAACGGGTGACCGGGTCAGGTCAATTGGGGTTCAAATCGGGCCGGGTTACTTCAGGTTTCGGATCACTTCCGATCGGGTCAAATTTGGGTTTTGGGTCGGGTCATGTTTGGGTTAACTCCATTTTAGATCGGGTTAGTTCGATTTCGAGTCAGGATCACGGGCCAAGTCATTCGGGTTGGATCAGGATTGCCAAGTCTAATCCCTCCATAGAGTGAAGCATATGGTATGGCTGGTTTTATTTAATGAGATTAGTTAGTATAGTAGGTTTTTTTTAATGAGATTCCATAGTAGTTGGAGAGAGAGAGAGAACATTAATTTTTTAGAAAAATCTCTCTAATACACAAGTACGTTTTTTCATAAATTTAATTTCTTAGAAAAATAAAACTCTATTTTAGTACTTCAGACAATTAGATTTAAATAAATTCACTAACGTGTCTATATTTCCATGTAAAAAAATTAACAATGACTAATGTCAATATCCTCTTTATTGATCAACTCTTTAATACAATTAAACAAATATCAACTAACAAGTAACAACTATATACCGAAACGAAACTTGTATAGTTGTATACACACCATACATAGCTAATATAAAAACCGTGCTGATTAAATTTAAATACGTTAAAAGAATCAATTAACAACTTAATTGTTACGAGTACCAAATATTTTAAATATAGAAATCGAGAATAATCCAACAAATTTCTAGGAATAACATTTATTTTTAAGTTTTATTTATAGGGGCAATGTTTGATATAAATTCAATGCAAAAAGACTAATAAGGTGCACAGATTATCTCTGAATGAAAGGTCAAAATGATGCAACGTATATTTATGAAGTCAAAATATGGGTAAAAGGATTTTTTACTAGATCAGATCAATTACAAACAACTTAAAAAGAACGAACAAAGAAGTAATCAAGTACAAAGTATAAAATTACAAAATAAAAAGGCGTTACGGGTGACTTGTATAGTTGTATTTAGAGCTGTCAAAAGCTGAACCGACCCGAAATACTGACCCTTACCCGACCTATTAACCGACCCGTCTGAAGCCGAAAAAAATGGTGACCCAAACCCGACCTAATCCGACCTGAAGCCAACCCTAGACCCGAGTATTTGAGACCCGAACCCGAACATTAACCGACTTAGAGACGACCCGACCCGAATGTAACCCGTAAATTATTGACCTGAACCGAACCCGACTGGAACCGAAATTGACCCAAACCCGTTTTAACCCGTCAAAACCCGAATTCAACCCGACCTGTTCCTAACCTGACCCGAATTCAACCCGACCTATTCCTAACCCGACCCGAATTTAACCCGACCTACAACAAACCCGACTCGAATTTCAACCCGACCTGTTACAAACCCGACTTGTTAATGACCTGACCCAAATTCAACCCGACTTGTTATTGAATCAATATGTATAGGTCGTTATCTCATGTTGGTATTGGAACGAAAATTGAATCCTAACTCTATTCCTTCAATACTTCACTTTGAATTTTAAAAGGTTAGTTTCACAACACATTTTTAGGAAATGACCCGACTTGATTATAACCCGCAAATTATGGACTTGAACCGAACCCGACTCGAACCCGAGAATGACCCAACTTGATTATAACCCGCAAATTATTGACTTGAACCGAACCCGACTTGAATCCGAGAATGACCCGACCTGATTATAACCCGTAAATAATTGACTTGAACCGAACCCGAGAACGATCCTAACTCGTTTAAACCCGTAAAGGCCCGAATTTAACCCGACCTATTTTTCACCCGACCCGAATGTAACCCGACCTTTTACTAACCCGACCTAAACCCGATAAGATGTATGACCCGACGTGACCCGACTCAAGCATGACCCAACCCGAACCCGACCCGCATATGTTATGACATTAACCTGTATTGACCCGACCTGAGATGACCCGACTCACACTAACTCGGCTCAAACCTGACCCATTTATCCGAATTGACAGCTCTAGTTGTATTCACTCAAAATGAGAGGGCAAACGTTCGCGCTGACTTGCTCTAGCACAGTCGTGTCGTGGAAAAGATTATGAATTTGAAAAACGAGAGGATTATGTCCTCGACTAGTGTGCAATCACTGAATATTATTATGGTAATAATTAGTTCATTTGATTGGGTCGTCATTATGCCTTTGCTAGAGTGTACCGATGAAATTTGGGCTTAAAATATAACCCAGAACCTAATTGAATGATTTCTATATACAAGGTGTAGATTAAACGAAGGGACAAAAATCCATCTTAAGCCTTAGTCCATAGTAGTCGGCCATAAGGCGTAAAGGAGGGGAGGAAAGGAGAGTTTTGGCTAAGAAATAATTAATGTAATATGATTTTATAATTAGGTTCTTAGGGAACTAAACAGTTGAGCAAATAGTTGCAAACCCTAATCCGCAAACACAGAACAATACAAGCTTTCTATCTCTCTTCCCTCACACGTGTGGCCGGCGTAAACTCCAAGAAAGAGGAGTAGTTTGTGGTTAGATCTTCTCCTATCCAACTAGCTTTGGTAGTGGTTCAATCTGTGCTTGTGACCCGAGTAGATCGAGGAGCAACACTTGCAACTCTAATTTTCCCTAGATTCATATCAAGCTTTCGAGAAAATCACGCTTCAATGGTATTATTCTAACTATAATGTGATCTTTTAATATTTATTTACGTTTTCTTTGTTACATACAAATACTCATGAATTGAAATTCTGCAATATAGTACCTAATTCCCTACAACGTATGCACAATAATGTTGTGTGTTCATGCATCGGGCTAGTTGCTTAGCTCATATTTGTGACTCATGTCTTCTTCTTTAATTTGCAGTTTGATGTTTTGCGTAATAAGCTAAGTTATCACATATTTACGGATTTTTGATGATGGTTATAAGCATATTTACGGAAGTAATTAAAGGGTTATAAGAGTTTTCTTATGTTATAATCA